CTCTCTCACTCCAGTCACTCTCTCACTCCAGTCATTCTCTCACTCCAGTCACTCTCTCACTCCAGTTACACTCTCACTCCAGTCACTCACTCCAGTTACACTCTCAATCCAGAGTATTCTAATAAAATGACGTATTACCTACAGTGTTCTTTCTTAACCTATACTCTTTTCATTATATTTTTTCTATTTAACCAGACTGCATAGAAACGCCGGTTAGTGGTTTACTGAGGCTTTTTATATTGAGCGCTGATATTTACGCTCTAATAGTAGCTTCGAAAGAGCCCTAATCGTAGCTTCAAATAAGCGCTGAAAGTAGCCTCGCCGGCTGGCTGATTGGCGTTTTACGCACCTGTGCCAACTCATTTTAGGACAAGCCGGGATAGACACTTCGGTGCGTAGTTTTAACGCAGCGATTTGTTTCAGTGCGTACTCAAGGTTGCTAAGGCGTCGTGCGGTCTACAGCAATCCCGGGTTCGTATCCTGCAACGCTCGAATGGTTCTCGAGGCGGAGAATGAAAAAGTGAATAGATAGGGTTTCAAATAGTATATCGGTATCTAATTAAATGCAACTACTTTTAATAAGATGCTCATGTAATGTAACGTCACAATAAAACATGTTTGATGAAGAGCGGCTACAACGTTGCATTGTAATGTCAGTAGGACGTTTCAAGAATAATGTTGCCTTACTTTCCATTCTAAACCTTTTTACAGCACGATTGCAACGTTGAAAACAGATTGGTTCTTCAACACTTATTCAACCAGAGAATTTAACGTTGCAGCCACGTCATAGTCGAAACATTGAATTAACGTTACGTCGAAACGTCAGTACGACGTTTCTTGAATGACGTTTCTTAAATTTTCATTATCAACTTCTTTCAACGCGATCCGAACGTCCTATATAATAGGTAGCTGTTTCAACGTCGATTCAACCAGCTAATGCATGCAAGGCCGGCTATTTAACTGTTTGCAATAGCACATTCAATACATTTCGATAAGTAGAGTTCGACCTACGGTAAATTACAGCAGAGCGAGAAAGTTTTAAAAGTTTATGCTTGCTCTCGATGACAGACTTTATTTCGGCGGTCACCCTTAGAGGCCCATGTTTTCTAGCCTTGACAAATTTTATAGGAAATATAGAAAAAGATGCATTGTAAATTTTGGAAAGTTCAGCCATACAAGACTGAATTGCGAGGTTTAGTTCATCAATATTAGTTAGAAACACAGAAGAAAAATTATCAATTTGTTCCTTAAACTTTTGGATATTGCCAGCATTAATAAGGCGAGTTTTTTCCTAGATGGAGCAATCGAGAACCCAGTTGCAAAATAAAGGAATGTCATTCAAGTGATTTGATAACTCCAAGTGAAAAACGGCTGATTTTGGGTTCGATCCATACAAATTACTCCAGATATGATCAAGCAGCGAATAAGGCGTAATGGTATTTTCGGGGGAAATTCTGGTTTTTTGAGTTATGAAATAATGTCATGTCATGAATAAAATTGTTGCTTGAACACAAATTAGGAGGATAGTACAGATTAATATTGAATTTATAACAAAAGCTTGCTGTATCAGATCTCCTAATTTTTTATATAACCTCGAGTGAAAAAAGCTTATTGAAAATTTGAACGCTATTAGAAGAAGACCGATAGACCTTCTTCTAATGTAGAGAGGTCAAACGCAGGCGAATTAACATATATTCAGCAATTCATATTCATTTTATACCCAGGTGAACGCTTCAAGTAATCCAGAACTGCATTTGTTATAGACATAGGTAGTCATACATCCCCCATGGCGATTGGGGTATATGCTAAATTTTTAAAACCACAAAAAGTGCAATTGATCGGAGTTTGAGCGAAGCCAAGTTTCCGTTACTGAAATCACTGAAAATTTAAAATCAAAAGCGCTGAGACACATCATGAGTTGGTCAAAGTTTTTATCAGACTTCTAATATTAATGCACACACGTGAAAAGGAATGCGATTTTTGAACAATGTCTTTCATTCGGTCTGTAAAAGCATGACAGTCGTACATTTTACAATAAATTTATGGAATATTCGCAATCTGATCATCTCCATGAGATACACTAGGATAGATTAATCCAACCATTGAGAAATGAGAAAGAGGAGCAATAGATAACAATAGACAGGGCATTAGGCAGTTAAAATCACCAACGACACTTCGAATTTAACCTGGTCAGACTCACTGTTGATGAATGAAATCTTATTTGTATTCTTAGTCTTAGCTCAAACTTGACCACGCCATGCATATACCTTCACGATAGACGCATTACATTACATGTTTGTCGCACCTCACTAGAATAACAGTATTAATTAAGGAATGCATGTGTTTATAGAAACCGTGTGTTAAAATAACATATAATATAAGAATCTGATAAATTTATTTACAGTTATCCTTTCTATTGTTTTAGCGTTGTAGGAAGTCGAAAAATCGCAAGATATAAAGCCAACATCATGCAGGAATTTCGCATCCTGGACATCCTCACTGGCCTCTTCACTTCGGTGAGATTGTCGTCAAGTTATGTTTTGTGTTCTGTAGGAGCCCTTTCCTCAATATATACGGCATGATACATGCAATTGGCTTCCTGTCAATCGAATGAATTAAGAACACTAGTTGGATTATTGGCGCATGCCCCACACTCGATTATGTATATCTTTAATAGTAGTGGATTTATATTTTATTATATCCACTAGTAGTAGATTTATTAGTAGTGGATATAATATTTTCGTAAGCCGAATCGAAAAGTTCACACAATAAAAGCGTCCCTCCAAGTAAATACCAGTCGTGTATCAAACTTGTTTTTAGAATTTTCATAATAGATTGCCAAGGAGAGTTTGTTTATATTAGGGAATAGGTTTTACACAAACTGGCTCAAAGTGAGTATACATTCCCATATAAATTATTTATTTTAAAGGAGACAAACAAAATGCACTGAATGGCAACTATGCATAGCCGAACATAGAACACCATTTTTAACAAATGCCTTTTCTATACATCATTTGCGGCGACACTCTCACACATAATCGAATAGCCAATGAATTGCAATAAATCGACATTCCTAAAAACAGTCGCCCAGTTGCGAACGAATAGAATATTATGTTTTTTAAGGAGATTAATGTGTCGTGCATGTATTTTTCGACGAACAAATTTCGTGAAAGTTCCCTTCATTCATCGCCTATGTGAATTATTTTAAGTGCACTAGAAGTTGATTCAGTTTCGCCTTTACCATTGGCCAGTTTCACAAAATATTCTCTGCTTAATAGACGGTAATTGTTTCTTTCTTCTTCAAAAGTTCCACGTATCTTCATTTAGATCACGCGATTAGTACAATTTCGGCGATAGCATCCCAATTTGAATATATTTGAAGGAATCTGTTCTCATTTCTTATCATAAAGCCTTATATACTGCAAGTGTTGAGCCTTTTATTTACATTGATTCATTTCCCTGATGCTGTTCCCCTTGTTTCATTTTAACTTGTTCTGTGTTGCAGGCGCTGTGCTTTGGACTCTCCGTGGCATCGTATCCCGACAGCGTGAGTACCGCGAGAGCAATAATATTATATTTGCTCTTTAGATTATCATTTGTCCATAATCCGTTTTGTACACCAAAACGGCGATTTGTATCCTCGTCTTAGTTTTTCACATATGCATATGAGTTTAATTCAAGAAGTTCAAACTATTGTGAGCAACCATGATTTTCTACTACAATTAATGTTCGTTCCATTTGAGACATGAAATGGGTTTATATTCTGGTTGCATGAAACTTGAACCCCAATTAATTAATTAAAACTTGAGCCCCAATCCACATCGACCCAATTAATTAAATAAAACTTGACCCCAATTCACATCGACATTTTGATCTATGTTCTCAACGATTTGTCTTGGTGACATCATTTGACGGGAAATGATGCACGCTCATCATAACAAAAATAGGTTCAAGCCTGCACACCGAGCAGTATCGGATCGACTGATTACACCTTTAATGCATAGCACTTTAATGCATAACACTTTAATGCATAGCACTTTAATGCATAGCACTTTAATGCATAGCACTTTTTTATACCGGGTCTAATTGGATCGGGATCAGACTCGAAACATGAAACAAACAAGCTCAAAAGTCCACTAACTCTCATAAAAGAACTTATTCAGTTATTTTAGACCTTTCATATCAATTTCAAGTGAACCGCCCACGTTTGCCACAGGTCAACGTGGTTACAGGCTCCTCTGGTGCACACGGCTGTGGGGGTGGACGGACTACTTCCGTGCGCTTCAGGTCCCTGCAAGTGCGGGGCCCGAAGTCGATGGTGGTAAGCTAATGAAATACTACACTAATGCTTGCAGCATTTCCGCCTGAAACATGCATTCAGTTTTAAAATAATTTTTTCTCGTCAAAGTTAAACCCTGTTTGAAGGCGCTTTCATACTTTACTCCGACTTTTAGCATTTTAATCTTGATTCTCATACCACTGATAGCTCTTTTCCTAGTCTGTTCATAGACTGCCTTTTACTTGAAAATAACTAATAAATCCATTAATCATATGAAATTCTCGGTGATTTGCATGCTTTTTGAGCATTGATAAGTGATTTAACGATGAGATTATTCCTTGCTTCAGACTTACCTACGTTTCTCAATCACGGAGAGCGATTTGACGTTCGCCTCTAATGCGTCCAAGGAAATCACTGCGTCAGATGCGGTGCAGTGCGCGAGAAGCTCAGCCTTGGCGGGTGAGGAATTGTTTTTAATTTGGCAGGTGATAATGCGTCAGAAAAATTACCGTTAACGGTATTACCGGCGTTTCAGTGGCCGGTCGGCACGTGAAAAGAAACACCGTGTCGCCGTTTCTATTCTAATTTAACACAAGAAATCCGTAAAACATCTGATAAAAACGGCGAAACAGTTTATTTTCATGGGGCGACCGGCCACTGGAATGCCAGTGGGACCGTTTTTTCACCGTTTTTTCTAACAGTGTAATGCGTCAGCCCCTGCAGGGAATGAGTCGGTCAATGGCACGCTATATTCAACATTCACTTCTTATTAGCGTTTACTTTGTTATTACGGTTTCACTACTTGGATGGGACTAAAAGTACAACGCCAGCGATAACGGATTTTGAAAGACATTCGGATGCAGTTATAGAATATTAGCAGCCATATTGTACTATGGTGAAAACGTACCGAGGATACGGGCAAGCATGACCAGAACGAGGGCCGAGTCAATTGATGACTCGACACGTCGTATTCTATCAAAATACTATTTGATAACCAGCTTATTGATCTCTCAACGCCGGCAAGAAATTTCGACTCATTGAACAACAATAAAAATTTTTAATAAAAAGTATGATCTGTTTTCAGTCAAATTACATATATGATATTTTGTAGGTTTCTTGAAAGCCCAGTGTTTATTCAATGATATTTAACGATTTAAGTGTAAAGGTGGACACCATCAAGAGACAAGGACTAGCTAATCATTTTCAAAATTAAATATCAGCTTACAAGGTGCATCAACGAGCATAAGTTCACGAGTATACTCAACAAGTAGGAGCAGTGGTTGTAAAATCTTTTTTGAGTTCAAAGCTCTTGCGAAATAAAAGATTTGCTTGAAATATATTAATCACAAAAATAATAATCACATTCCAGTAAATTACACAAAAAACTACCTGAAAACAAATTTAACTTTTCCAGATATGACTGCCTTTGCTTTCAATGGAACCTGCACGGCTTACCAATTCAACAGTAAGCCTTGCTCATGTCATGGTGGCGAGAAAGTAATTTATGTGGCAAATTCCAGCATTTCCTACGGACCCCCTGCAACTGTGCCTTTCAGTGAGTCCCTGAGATACTTGTGTGAATGAGCTGTAAGATTAATGTGTACGAGTCTCACGTTCACTGCCAATAAATAAGCTGCGAAATTCGTAGTTCACTTTCCTCGTATCACATAAAATCATGTTACACATATAAGTTTGAGCGGAATTATATTAATGAACGCAGAATCAGGATTTTATTTGTGAAACAGAGAATTTGCTTTAAAGTCAAAACGTCAGTGATTGAGACAACCATAAAATAAATAAATGTGCTAAGTTTCTAGTTGCATGAATTAACTATTTCTAATTCCACAACCGAATACTATACATTTATCATCATCTCCCTACATTCATCCGTATTCTTGAGACTCTCGCGTAACTTGTGGTTAAATAAAACCTTGCGTTACAGGGCTGAAGTGTTGTTTAGGTTGGTTATACGAGGCCGTGACTTGCACTAATCTCGATACACGGTGTTAGGGTACGTAGTGTAATAGCGCTTTTTTCAGTTAGATATTTGGATTTTTGGTTTTAAGTCACCTCGGACGTGACCTCGTTTAGATAAGCACCGAAACTTAGTCATTGCTATTTGATCCACCACGGAGAGAGGCTCCGAATCTTGAGACCGAAAGTAAGAACTTGAGCAAAGAGAACACACGGTTATATTTTGTCTTTATTTGTATTTATTTTTACTTATTTTTATTTGTATTTATTTTTACTTATTATAGTTTTCATTTATCGTTCTTATTCATCCCTTTTTTACCACTATACCCACGACAACGGGGCTAGTGTTCGCTCCAATTATTCGGTGCAAGTACTCACCGAATACTCGGAGCTAATACTAGCCCCGCGTACAAGCACCTTAACTTACGCCCCGTGGCTCTAAGCAGACCTCGCCTGTCAACATTGTGTGCGCATGGGTCGTGATAAAACTTGGGAGTTCAGCGTGAAAGTTCACATTTGCGGAGTTTCGATGGATATGATTAATTTCAGGGAAAAATAAAGGCCGGTAACTCTGCTTCTGTGTGAGTTGAGATATACTAATATCCATCCACATGAGGGAGTGAATGTGCGTGTCCTTACTTGTGTGTATCTTCGTGCAGTGTAGGGAGTAAGTTTAGGTGTGCGCACTTAAATGTGAGCATAGTTTATGCGATGCGCTAATCCACCGCTCAGGTGATTCTTTCAGAGCTTTATACGTTCTTCGTCGGATGTTCTTCTCTATTTAGGGAAGTTGTACATAGCATAATAATCCCAAAGACGTTGGGGTTACACTGCAGATCCAGTAGTGTACAGCTGTCTAGGACAAAAGTATATGAAAATGACAACCACTGGTATAAATAGTACTGAAAAACAATCATATCCAAACTTTCTATGTTTAACGAGCATAAGTTCAAGTGCTTTAGATCATAATAATGTGCTTTAAATCATGCAACTAACACCTTAATTAAATCTTACTAGCAGCGAGGTTGAATCCCACAAGTCACTACCACTGTTCGCTAAATACATACGAGTAAGTACCAGGGTCATACTTTCAAAACTCGTTAAGTGAACGTAAGTTCTTACACTCAATTTTCTTGTTAATGATTGGTGGATTTGGCTTGAAAGGCCGTCAATGATTGGCTGATGAACTTACGATCTCTTAACTTTTTTTGAAAGTATAGGCCCTGGTCTTTCTAGTTAGCAGGGAGCAGGTGACACCAGCGGTCAGGTTACCTGGAGATTGTGCTGGTAGCTATCAATTTGTAAAACTTATTGACGCTCATTTCTTATGCCATCCTCAGACCTAATATCCACTTACCTCGGACAACTTACCTTAATTGTTATTCACCTTAATTAAAACCGATACTTCTATTTAACATGTCGTTTACCCTTGACAGCAAATCGTTGTTTATCTATGTCTATCTCAACAGGCACCGCTCCCTACATCAACACCACTGTCAAAGATATCGAATTCAAGGAGTACCAGCTCGTGAATTTCTTCTCGAATGTATTTTCTCAACGTGTGCAGTCATTTGAGAATGGTAAGTGATCCAAAATGTATGAATTATTTACTAATCGGTTCAAACTAGAAGTAACCATTTTACTTTATCTCAACACCGCTTTATCAACACCTAATCTTGTCATTCTTGTGGAGGTGTAGTTGCTTTAACCCAGTGAAAATTTGAAGCAGCGCTTGAACCATGCACCGCGCACCGTATACAATATACAGGTGCGCGCCCCGTATATATAGGTATTCCGCTGAATTTATTTGAAATGTTACCAATTAGTTTACTCTCACGAGCGTCATTCCCATTATCACGATGAACTGGAGCTGATATACATTCTTTCTTATTGGAAATTTTGACATGGGAACTGTTGAGGACGCATAAACAAACTCAACATAGGCATTATGTAAATGATTTATTAATGGGAGCTGCCAGCCTCGAGATGGCCAACACGATTGAATTTGATTTGATTTCCCATCTTAATTTTTCCATGAACGTTATATTTTTTCCCCATTTTCGATGAAAGTTACTAAAAATTGCACTATTAGTTTTCCTCATACGGTTTTAAAACGTAACCTAATTCAAACTTAAAAAAAATTCGACAAAATTGCACTCTATAGTAGTAGGATATTCTAATTGCATTATTAATAATAGATTCTTTTCTTTCCAGTGATCAATAGCTACCCGAACTATTACGTCTTCCCTCGAGAAGATGGCGGTCACGAAGCTCTTGATTACTTCTTTTTAGACGTGGCTTCTTGCGTCACCGACACCCCATGCGGGATGCCCGTCCTCGTCAGCAGAACTCGGCAAACTTATTACATGCGTGAGCACCAGAGCACATGATTTGTTTACATAAATAAGAGAACCAATGTTGCCGGCGCGTGGATGCGGGTGGGGTCAGAAGGACCCACTTTGTGTCTCTGGCAACGTCATAATTTTAATAATTGATTTGATGGAAGAATAAAACAGTGGTACACATAGAGTATACTGGATTATGTGTTGTCAGTTTGCAGCTTTGGGGTTATTCAGTATTGACGGTAAAAAAATTAGTTGAATACGCAAATTGAAATATTTAAATTCAGAAGTGTGTCATAAGGAGCATGAGAGGGGCAAGCCGTAACTGTACGGAAGAAATATCGAAACAATACACGTGCTATGACAGATTGAAAGCAAAAAATAGTATCATCTATAAATAACACGCAGAATTCAAGTTCAATTTCGCGATAATCAAGTTAAATCAATGATGTGAATAATAATGTTACAAAATCCTAATTTAGCCATGCCCCTCTTATAGAATATTCCTAATGAAATAAGAATTACCCTGACCAACAATAATAATAAACAAACACTCGTTTGGAATCATATAAGTGAGAAGCAATTCACGAGAACAAGTGAACTAAAATGATGTAGAAAGTATTGAAGTGATTTGGCTACCCTTAAGTGCAACAATACTACTACCTGACGGCAGTAACCAAGTTTGAATCGTTGAGCATAATGGATTTAACACTTAGCACTCTGAGATAAAATGAACACATTTTTCATTTAGAGTCTCAATTATTTACAATCTGAATAATTCGCCAACAAACGCTTACCTAAACACTCACCCAAGCATTAGGTCTTCACAGCACAAGCCACCAGTATAAAGTAGACCGCTTGTTGAAGGACACCGCGGAACTCGGGTACTAAAACCCGGGTCATCTTGATATGAATTAATACATGTTGCAGATTTGCTTTGTGGCGAAAGGATCATGGTAACCCCCGGTTTCACCAATAACCAATGTGTTTGCTAATATGTTTTAATTGCTGCGAAAATTAGAATGAGGTTGCATTCAATAAAACCGTGGATTTCAACTAAGTTTCTGTGACTACAGCTTCTGAGAGAAGCTGGTACGATGAACTTCAAAAAAGTTCATGCCATCATAAGATCTCAAAGATTTACTCAGCGAAGAAAAGTATTAATTACACAGGTTGGCGCTAAAAAAATGTCGCATGTTTAACTAGTGGGTATTTCGCTATCATGCAAGCAGTGAATGGGATAGCCGTAACAGAAGATTAAACTATTTCAGGCAGACGTAGCCAATCAGAAGGGCTCTTATTCCCTGACTTGAAAATGTTCAAAGACAACGTTTAGTAGATTTCAAAAAGATCTTACCTCTTCTACTCCATGTCGAGTTGGGGCTTGTGAAACAGTTTGTGAAAGCATTAAGCAAAGTGGAATTGTGTTTCAATTGTGCGTTATCTTCGTGAAAAGTTTCCTGGTCTATGCAATGCTTAGCTGAAAAAAAAAGAGTAAGACATAAGAAAACTTTTAAAAGATGAAACCTTCGTCATACAATGGAAATAGAAAAAAAGAATGCATAGCATTCATTTGAACTAGTGTATCAGGCTTCCCTGAGAACAAAAAAATCCACATCCTGGTTGCTGAATTGCTACAAAACTACAAAATTTTGGGTTACAGTGAGTCCTGAGTCCAATGACTTCACTCAGATGTAGACTACTTTCCAAAAAAATCTTGGAGCTTTGAGTGAGGAACAACGAGAATTTTTCCATCAAATATTTGAGAAATGAAGCGCAGATATCAAGGTTGATGGAATGTCGTGATGGCAGATTGCTGTTGCAAGTTAAAAATGGAAAATTCAAATGAACACAGTCAAAAATATCACATAAATAGATTTAATGGAAAAATGAAGACTTTCTATAACGACTTATGATAACTTTGCAATGCAATACGTATCACAACTATCCATATTTTAGCTAAATAATATTGTGAGTTTTGATTTTCCTTTATGTTAAAATAACAAGAACTAATCCAAAATCATTACATTTCGAAATTATTTAGTCGTACTTGATAAGAGAAAAACAATTTCATGTACGAAACTGAAACAAATGTCACAAGAATTAATAATGGAAAATGGATGACAACTTAAATAACAAACATAATAATGCCATAGTCAACAAAATATATCATGCAAAGTCACGAGAGATGTAAGCCATATCAACAATTCAATTACGTTAATTCAGCCTCTTCACCTATTTTTATCACGTTTTTCTTAGCTCGCTTTCGTGTCTGTGATGATCAAATCTTGCAATCGATATTTCACCA